ATAAACAGGTTTTTCTACAAGATTAAGGTAAATGGTAATTAGAGATAACTGGGTTGAGATTGAGCCGAGGTTAAGATTTCACTAATCTCAAGTCCATGTCAAAAACTATAAATATAGGTCACAGGTAAGAGGTAAGTGATTACACTGTACATTTATTACCATTATACTGAACTCTCCTACAGACAATTTGCTAACTTAAGTATGAAAGAAAGTTACACCTTCGTAAAACGAAGACAAGGACTAGACGAGCAGTTACTAGACAACATCTCAGAAAAAATTATATAGGTGTTTGAAGTGACTCAAACTCATACCCGAAACACTTTATATAAAATTTCTCATTAAAATATTTAAAAAAATGATACAAGAAACCATCAGTTCAAGAAGTAATTAAGAATTATAAATACCATAATCTAGTATTTTTAAATCCAGTTTGATTTTAGTTTATAAAAATAGATCCAATCGAGTTAACTAGTTAATTGAAAATGAATTGAATTTTACGGTGTGATTTATTGAATTGTCAAAAAGAACTCATTTTTTTTTTAAATCTAATATAATATGAAAATCAGCTAAAATTATTTACTTTTCACACAAAATAGATAATGTAGAGTTGTGGAGTTAAAAAAAACTGTTATTTTAGACATTAACTCAAACTTAACCTGCAAATTGATCTAACTTGACTATGGACTTGACGAATTGAATTCATTGGAATTCCCAAATTAAAACCTGACATTCTCTTTTTTGCCCGAAATGGTGCATTGGCCTATCGACCGACTATTTTTCTTATCTAAGAATAGGAAAGTTACGGTATATAACACCCGAAGACCCGAGTCTCCTTCTTTTAACGCCACACAAAGAGAATGCAGTACGAAAAATCAAGAATGAAGTACAATATCATCGATCGTTGTCAACACAAATTCGTGACATTGCCGGAGACAAATTCGTGTGTTACCTTCCACACACTTGTCTTTGTGTTAAGGCCTTTCACTTACTTAGTCAACCAATCTATTCTACAATAATATATTACTCTTGATTGGTTCAAGCCGTCTCCAACACTCTTCATTCTTCTCATTTTTTTCTCCTTTTAAATTGTCGCGTCCCCTTATTTTTTCCAAACTTCCGTACAGATCATACTGTTTGCTGTAAGAGTCTGGTTAGTTGGCGATACGCATTTTTATACTAAAATATAAATGCGATAATTGGGATGATTCCGCGCATATTCTTCATCGTGTTTTTCTTTGATGAATATAGCTTCATATATTAACCTATTCCATCTTTTTCCGATTATGACAAAATCATTTACTTATTTATTTCACCAACATTGAATTGGATTTATAAAGTTCTTGAAGTAAGCACTCCAAAGTCCATATCCATTATTGGAACATTATAAGTTAAACTATTTGTTCGTTGAATGGTCACTTATCTTTATTTGAATTGAGATTAAACGTGAAGGGCGATCTGGGTGTAGCCTGCACGTATTAATAAAAATATAAAATGCAAAAGAAGAATCTAAAAATTAAATAATTATAATAAAGCCATTTATATTTTTAAACAAAAATTGATGCGAATAATGGACCACTGATTATTACGCCTGCGGTATTATTATAATCTTGTATCGTTTTTCATATTACGAATGTCAGATGTTTGTTTAATTGAATGTCATGAATATATATATATATATCAGTTTTTTATAGCCATAATTAACCTATTGTTTGGCAACATTCAAAGGCCAACTAACTAACAAACACGTAAACTGAAACCACCCCAACTATGTTACGCTAATTAATGTGTTTACCGTGCCGTACACCAAGGATGTTATTGTTGGTGGTTTCAGAGTTAATTTAATTAAGTGGAAAAAATTGGACTATTAGTGTATTATAGTATTAACTACGACCCTCTTTTTTTAAATGATTAGGGTCATGCTTGGCCATGAGGTACTTCAAGATAACTGAAAGTTGGAATAAAAAAATGCGATTACTTTTCCACATTCAAAATATTGGACTGTCCTCTGTTCAAAGTATGAAACTACTCATTAGTTTCATTTTTTAAAAAAAATCTCTCTCTGTCTCTCTCTAATTACCGGTTATCTTACTCAAATTGAATCATATATATATATATATATAAACCATCCCTTCAATTTGCTCAATAGCTAGTTCCTCTTCGTAGTTTTTTGACCTATCCTTCATCTTCCTTGAACATGTTAGGGAAAAAGATGGTATCTTTCAAGAAACTGGCAAAAAGGGTGAAGGGGGTAGGTGGATTTGAGCCTGATCCTTACCCTGCTCATCATGAGGGTTTGCTCAATAACTATGAAGAAAAATGTGTGACTAACTCACCCCCGACAGGGTTTTTTGCTCTTTATGTCGGAGAAGAGCGGCAAAGATACGTGGTTCCAACGCGCTACCTTTCTCACCCCTTGTTCAAGATGCTGCTGGAGAAGACTTACAATGAGTTTGGATTTTCGCAGAGGAATGGACTAGTAGTTCCATGCAGTGTTTCCACGTTTGAGGAGGTTCTGAATGCCATAGAATGCAACAACGGCAAGTTTGACTTGGGAAAGTTTTTTGCAGAGTTTGTTTGAATCGCATGAAACGCAGAGTCTCTCTTTTTTTTCAAGCTATAATGTATTATCACACGCACATGTAATGCACAACACTCCAGATAGGTATAGCTTTAACTTTAACTCTGCATGATGTTGTGTTGTTGCAACATTTTCAGATAGAATAGATCTGACTTAAAATAGTGATTCGATGAACTTTAATATTGGTTTATCTTCTGTCTTTGCCTTTAGCTAATCTTTCACATGGCCAAGCCACAATTTTCATCATTGATTCCATGTTCGAACTTTACTTTAATGATTTTGAAACTGGATCACAGCTATATCATCCAGTAACAGTTGTGTCATTAAATTAATCGCAAGATTTTCTTAATTAATTTGCGTATCAAGCAGGATTTGATCTCCTTATAAACAGGAAAGGATTTTTGTGTTTGATGGCTATAATTTGATTTGGTGAGAAACTATTTTGAACTTGTAGATTGAAATAGTTGAATAAAGAAATAAGTAAATCATCCATTTCTAGTGGTCAACCGGGAGTTAAGGTTGAGGCTTGAAACAGAAACCTTCGTTTTTGTACAAACTATGAAGATATTGCTGAGATGCAGGGGTTGCATATATCTTCATTTTATAATTCTGGGGAGATTCAACAGATCGCGTAGAATCTACCTCAAAAGTAAAATTTTGAAGATTCAATACACAGTCAATTGTTGCCTAAGCTTCTTCTCTTCAACTCTGATGCTTTTAGAGGTCTGCGGTTCTATCTATTTTTTTACTTTGATTTGCATCTTCACATGATCTTGCAACAACACTCTTTATAATTTTAATGCATTTATCATTGGTGAGAAGCAGGAACATAGTAGAGCAGTACATCGTATCAATTGAACTTAACATAACAACCAGATCTCAAGAAGAAGCTGGTATCGTTTCGTTGTTATAACCTTTTAATTCATGATTATGTTAAAAATCGAACTTTAAACTTAACTGAATCTTACAAACTTATAAGTAAGATAAGCTTTTGTGTCTATGTATATATTTTAAATTGATATTTATTTTTGGTGGACTTGAAACTTTGAACAAATTATACTTTAGTTTTTATGGGATTTAAAGAAACAATTACAGTTGATAATAGGAATGTTTTATAAAAAATATTTGTTTGTAAATATTTAGCTAAACCTTGATATAGGAATGTTTTATAGGTTCAATTAACAAACACAATTGAGAAAATAAACATAATCTTAATTTTAAAACCCATCAAATAGTTATTTACAAGTTCAGTTACGAAACAAAAATTATTTAAATTATGGTATTCTAATTTCGTTTATTGTATAGTGATTTAAAATTAAAATTAAGATGGACTCACTTTTTCCTTTCTTTTAAGTCAGGATGGACTTACTTAAAACAATATAATTTAAGAAGAAGTAAACAAAAATGTGAAGCAATCCTCGCATAAGTCACGCACGCACCTTCTAAGAAAATAAAGTACAAATTCAAAAGTCTTCAGATTTAAACACTGAGTAACCAAATTTACATGGCCGCTGTGAAAGAGCTTGTAATTAACTTGTTGAAACTTATACGATATTAATGTTATGAGCATGTGAAATTTGTCCAAGAGAGTTTATAGAAATATCTTATTACTTGTTAAAAGTTAATTTAGATTATAGCCCTGATTTAGTTTATAGAAATACCACATTTTGTCATTTACATTCTTTACAATCGTCAATCCAAGGACGTTTCTACGTACGGTTCTAAAAAAGTTTTGGGAATTATTAATTTAATTTAAGGTTTAATTATTTATTATTTATTGATGTGATTTTAATGTAAAATCTAATAATTGGTATAAAAAACATGTTAGATTTGTAATTAAGTTTTGTTCCCAAATTACATGAATACTAGTATGAGTTTTCCTCCAATTTCTAGTTTTAGTGTAGTTGTTTTCTAATTTGGATCACACGCTTCTTTTCTTTACATGTGTGTGAGTTATATATATATATATATATATATATATATATATATATATATATTAAAATGTTATTGTTAACTTTTGATTTTTATTTATAATCTTAAATGTTTATGTATATCCATGCAAGTGTTCATTTGATTAAACGAAGATTAATATTTGGTTAAATTGCATACACATTTGTTATAATAAATGTGTGCTGAATCAATTTAACGATAGGTTTGTTTTTATACATATTATATCATTACACCAAGATATCCTTAATAATTAATATTCTTGTTAAAAAAATTGATATTGATAGTGCGTAAGGTATCTTGAGATGTGTTACATTATTTGAACATATTTGTTATTATTTTTATGATATGAACTTATTTATATTATTTCTCTTATTTTAAATACACTTACAATTGCTTCAAAGTGTGAATCTAAATTTAGTTATGGTTTTCAATGGAACAAATTTTATGTCTTGTTCACTTGAATGAATTTGAGAGAGAGTGATTGAATGAATTTAAGAGGATTTGAAGGTAAAATTTGTTGTTTATTTGAGTAGATTTGGAAGTAAGTGAGTGATTTTTGAAGTAAAGTCTGTAAGAATTAGTGTAGAATTTGATTTATGTGACATATTAAAAAAATTTACTTCTAAATCAACTCTCACTTACCTTCAAATTCACTCAAATAAACAACACAAAATTTATTTTCAAACCCTATCAAATTCTTTCAATCACTCTCCCCCAAATCCATTAAAGTGAACAAAGCCTTAAGGACTTGAACATGGAGATAATTTTTTGTTACATGGATCTCAACCTTGTACTAAAACTGAGAAACTCATTCTCTTACATACTTAAGCACCACTTTAAAAAGTAAATATTATGATAAGTGGGGTCGCTCAAATAACATGAATCTAATAATCATTAAGCGTAACATTCAATAGGTTTTTAAGAGTGTATATTTGAAAAAGTAACAAGTGTTGAATACTTCTTTGTTGAGATTGAAAAATAGATTGCAAAAAGCGACAATGCAAAAATAAGCGTATTTCTTCGGAGTTTGATTTTCATAAAGTATCATGGCAAAGGAAATGTGAGATAATACATCTTGAAAATGTCAAATATTACCTCAAAATTGAAGGGGTTGAAACTTTATATGTTAGAAGACTTACTCATGCAATTAATTTGATATTTATTCTCTCATTGTTTGGATAGTTTAAAGTGTCTTATAATTGTTAGGAAGAAAAATGGTTTCTTAATGAGCTCATTTCATATTGTGTACAATAAGATAAGAGATTAAAACAATAAAATAGTGAAAATGTTCATTTAGCACGTACTTTTAAACATAAAGGCAAAAATGAATAAATTTGAGAATCCAAATAATGAAGTTCACATAGGTTCACTACAAAAGAAACAAATATAAAATAATAAATGTTTCTTTTGTAATATGGTTGGAGATATAAAGAAGAACGATACAAAACATCATGTTTGGTGTGCAAATAAGGTACATTTATTACTTTGGTATGTTCTAAGGTCAATTTAGCTTCAATACTAAAAAACATTTAGTGGTTAGATTCATGTACCACTACTAACACCAGTGTTTGAATGTAAGGTTACCTAAACTATCAGAAGTCAAATGATTTTGAAAAATGGATAGATGTTAGAGATGACAAATCGGTGGAGGTTGAAGCTATTAGACATTTTGAATTATTACTATGTATTGGTTTTTATCATTTAAGTATAGTTTGATTTTGACTTCTTATTTGGACAAATTATAATACTTTTATTCAATTGGAAATAATGAATTCATATTATCTTTAAATTAAAATATTATTGGAACTGATTCACTTTTAACTCATTATAAATTATGTATGTTTGATAAAGTGACTTTCTACCATGAATTCTTAAATACAAAATTACATATTACTAAACATAAAATCGACAGACTGTGATTTAGAAACATTATGGCACATGCATATAGGTTATATTTGTAAAAAAGGAATTGAACAACTTTTGTCAAATAAGATATTTAACTCTGATTTTATAGTTACATAAAATCATACTAGCAAAAAATCATTAAATATTTAATCCAACTTTTACACGATGACTTGTATTATTTTATATTAAATGTTTTGTAATAAATTATATCAAAATGGCTATTGAAGGAACTAATTGTATCAGCATTAATTTATAATATATATATATATATATATATATATATATATATATATTAATTGTTTAACTTTTCATATTTTATGTGTATATATGTTCACTGCTTAATGCATCAACTGAAATTGCAAATTTATTAACTATTTAATTAGTTTTAAATTTTCAATAATGATTTTACTTTTTTTAAGTTTACTTAATTCGATATTATATAAAC